CGAGGATCACAAACAAGGTGTGAATAACCATGCAAATTAGCTTGGTACACCCAATGTTACAACCACCTAATCAATGTGCCGGTTAACCACACACGCTCCATTGATCTATGATTAACATCAAGCTACCCTTTGCCATGCACTCTCAGTCCCGATTAATGTGCCGATTAACTACACATGCTCCACTAACGGCTTAACAAGGTGAAAAGTGCTATTTCATGGGTTAGCATTATATTCACATTTTCCTAAGTAACTAAGATTTGGGAATTTATAAGTGTTTAGTTATTTTATAGTTATCATTATACTTTTAATGAAGGGAGAATTAGAGTCCTATCCTACCCGTTCGGCTAACAACCCTCCACCAGTCAAGGAAGCGGTGAGTGAGAGTGGACACCCATTAAACTGCCATTTTATAGGAAGTAACCTTATACCTCCCTTATAGAACGGCTTCGTGAATGAGGCCTACTAACGGTAAGACTGACTTTACTCTTATACATATATATAAATATTAAACCTATAATATTATAATAGTATAAGGGTTGAATTTAAAACTTTTAAAATTCTAGGGTTTGGAATTAAATGTTTCAAAAGTTATACTTTTACATTTACAAATTCCAAAACTTGAGGGCAAGTTTTGAACTATTCAAAAACTATTGGAATCCATAACTTATGAGTTTAATATAGGTTTTAAGAAAAGACTTTTGACATTTCATAACTTGAGGATAAGTTATGGAGTTCATAAAACCATTTATGGGAAGGACTCTTCATTTTTCTATAACCTATGACTTTTAATGATCCATTTAAATGAAAAACTTTTCATTTTTCATAACTGATGACAAGTTATGGAATTCATCAAAATCATTTAGATCAAAAAATTCTAACAAGAAAATCAAACAATATGTTTATGATCTAAATTAAACTCATAAGAACAAGACAATTCATATCAAACATATTTCATGTAATTAATCATATAAACAATTACAAAACATGAAACTTTGACAATTATCTTTTAATTGGACAAGCATGAACATTACCCTATTGAAAACATGTTTCTCGGTTCAAAAAACAGTTTAGGGTAATGATCCTAATCCAATTGCAAGCCAAAACACGAAATTTTGCTCACAGGTGCATCACCACGTCGTGGTAAAAGTTGTCACGTCGTGGTGAGCAGTCATATGCGAAAATGGCACATTTTCAACTTTGGGAAAACAAGAAGCATCAAGTATATGAGAAAGCAAGCCTAGGCTCTGATACCACTGATGGGTTTTGAGCATTCTAACACTCCTAAGGTGTACATGCAACCCTAAATACCTTGGATCTATGTTTTCTCTATTATACATGAAAGCTTGAACTTTCCAAGGTATTACCCTAACTAGCATACAAAAGTTTATACGTGGGTAATAAAACTAGTTAGATAACATACCTTTTCTTTTAGTTGGAAGCCGTGGACCTTTAACAACTTAGTGCCCCAAGTGTTGCATCTCAAATGGAATCACACAACACCACCAACAATTGGAATAACTTGAGAGAAGAACACTTGCACTTCATGAAATCGGCTATCCCTCCTTGCCAAGACTCTAGGTCACATTTCATGAGCTATGAGGCTTCTTATATAGTGTGAACATTAGGGTTACACCATGTAACCCATGACTTTCCACATTCCTCATGATCCATGGGTTTTAACCTCCATGGAGTATCCATGGGTCACCACATGGGTTTAGCCCAACATGAAGAACTATGGATCATAAGCCCACTTTATAAGAATTAATGATTTACCAAATCATTCCCCATTCATTTAATTAGTCTCTTTTGATCACAAAATTAATTCCAAACTAATTCTTGATCAATACTAATTAAATAATATGATTTCATATTAATATATTAGAACTTATAATATATTAATAAATCATAAATATCCTCTTCTCACAAAAGTCTATCCAAATGGTTCCGATGCCATGCAACCCAAATGGACCATGCTGCTCTCGGGTCAAGTACATACCAATAATAGTTATGGGCTTAGACATTTAATCCAACAGAGAATGCTCAACGGACGAGTTTCTTCCCTAAGGGTTAATGTTAAGATTCATGTCCTGTCTTCTAAGGGACGAAGCCCGTGATTGGTGGGAGGAGGGCAGACACTCTCTAGGAGCTGCGACCATGGCGACCATGACTTGTGATGAATTTGTGATGAGGTTTAGGGCAGAGTTTGCACTTATTGAGATGCTAAAACTGGATAGGGAGTTTCAGGACCTCCCCCAGACCACGGGGATTGTGGCGGAGATCACCGCTAAGTTTCGGGAGAGGGCTTTGTTGGTTCCGCAGTATGTGGCGGAAGAGGAAATGAAGAAGACTAGATACCATGATATGATAGGGGATGACATTTGGGAGTTTATGAGCATCTCCAACTACATGAAATTAGAGGACATGATTGCTAGGGTCCGGGAACGGGATATCAATTTGGAACTTCTGAAGAAGCGGAAGCCAGTTCAGATACAAAAGGTGGAGGGCTCAGGGAAGAAGCCCAAGACTTTTGACTCACTATCTAGAGGCCAATAGGGTTGGAGCCGTTGAAAGTTCGGGAAACTGCAAGATAGAGTGTGTCGAATTAGTGGTTCAGGCTGCTACAGGTGTGGCAAGATGGGTCGCTTGATCAGGGATTGCACCCGGGTACCAAGTATAATTTGCTTCCATTGCAATCAGACGGACCACAAGAAGGCTGAGTTCCCTAAATTAATAGGAGGAGCAGTGGCAGATCCCATGCCAACCACCTTGAGGATTACTGATGGCTACCAGGGGCAAGACGGAGGCTCCCGTAGTGAAGAGTAGGGCATTCCGGTTGACAGCTGAGGAGGAACGAGCAGCTCCTGATGTGGTTACATGTATGTATATTTACCATATCTTTTAATTCTTTCATTATTATGCTTATGCTTATTTGATCATGTATGGGGATGTTTTTAGTCAATCGTATATTGGCTCATGTTTTGTTTGATTCGGGTGCTGCCCAATCTTTCGTATGTCTTGCGCTTAGAAAGAAGTTTAGTGATGCTCCTGGGACTTTTGATTATCCATTAGAGGTGGAGACTGCCGATGATTGTTCAACGAGTGCTTTGAGGGTTCATCGAGGATGAATTCTAACTATGTTCAATGAGAGATATTTGATTGATCTGGTACCGATTCCTATGTGAGGGTGAAAGATTATTGTGGAGATGGACTGGTTGGGCTCCAATAGGGCTATGATTGATTGAGAGCACCAGTTGGTGAGAGTTTGAACCCTAAGTGGGGAGAACTGGTTATTCGTGGTGAGGGTGATCAACATGGGCCGATGGTTTGTTCAGCTGCGAGAGCTAGGAGGTATCTTCAGCAGGGTTGCTCCGGATTCCTAGCTTATGTGGTGGATAAGAAGACTGCGAGTGATGTGCCCATTGTTCAGGAATTTCCTGATGTGTTTCCCGAGGATCTGTTTGGGGTGCCTCCCGAAAGGCAAGCTTAGTTTCAGATTGATTGAATTCCGGGAGTGGCTCCGATAGCCAAGGCACCCTATCGGGATTTGAACAAATTGACAGTGAAGAACAATTATCCCCTTCCAAGGATTGATGATTTGTTTGACAAGTTTCAGGGTGCATCTTGGTTCTCCAAGATTGATTTGAGATCGGGTCATCATCAGATGAGGATCAAAGATGAGGATGTGCAAAAGACAACCTTTAGGAATCGTTATGGTCATTACGAGTTCGTGGTGATGCCATTTGGACCTACCAATGCACCTGCAACATTCATGGACCTCGTAAACTGGGTGTGCATGCCAGTGTTCGACCAGTTAGTGATAGTGTTTATTGATGATATCCTGGTCTACTTTATGACCAAGGAGCAACACGATGAGCATTTACACGAGGTTTTAGAGACCTTGAGGATGAAGAGTCTTTATGCCAAGTCGTCCAAGTGTGAGTTGTGGTTGCATGAGGTGCGGTTTTTGGGACACATTGTCAACCATAAGGGTATATTGGTCGATCCGGCCAAGATAAAGGCAACGATGAAATGGGAGGTTCTGAGGACACCATCTGAGATCAGGAGCTTCCTTGGTTTAGCAGGTTATTATCATAGATTTATTTAGGATTTCTCCAAGATTGTATTTCCCTTGACATATATGATGAACAATAATGTTTCTTTACGATGGGGGCACGATCAACATGCAACTTTTGAGACTTTGGTAGATGTTATGCGATGCATTGATTTTGACCCTCCGTGTGGGCATGGATGACTTTGTGGAGTATTGTGATGTGTAAATTATGGGTCTGGGTGCAGTTCTTATGCATATGGGTCATGTGACTGACTGTGTACGCATCTAGATAGATGAAGCCTCATGAAGTGAACTACCTACCCATGATTTGGAGCTGGAGGTTGTGGATGTTGCCCTCAAGATTTGGAGCAATTATTTATATGGGGCCACGTGCACTATTAGTCTGAGGTATCAGATGGATCAACTGAATTTGAACATGAGGCATCACAGATGGTTGGATGTGGTGAAAGATTATGACTGCAAGATTTTATAGCATCCGAAGAAGGCCAATGTCGTGGTCGATGCCTTGAGCCGCAAGGCGGCGATGATCATTTTTTCACCATCATTAGATTTGATCAAGAAAGCTCAAGTGGAGGGGTTAAAGAGGGAAAATTGGAAGGAAGAGGGGATCAGGGGCTAGATTTCGTTGTTCGTCAGAGATAATCATGGATTATTGACCCATTGCGGCAGAGTATGGGTCGTGGTTGTTGGTGGGGTTAGGCGGAAGTTATTGGAGGAAGCTCATAAGTCAAAGTTTCTGATTTATTCTGGGGCCACGAAGATGTATAGAGACCTGAGATTGAGCTACTGGTGGCCCTGCATAAAGAGGGAGATAACATGATTCATGGAGCGGTGCTTGACTTGCTGGAAGGTCAAGGCCGAACATCAGAGACCCCATGGAAAAATGCAGCCGTTACCCATTCCCATGTGGAAGTGGAAAAAGATCACCATGGATTTTGTTACGATGTTGCTGAGGACGGTACGTGGAGTTGGTTCTATCTGGGTTATTGTTGACAGATTGACCAAGAGTGCTCATTTTGTATCCATTACTAAGAGCATATTCATTAAAAAATTAGCTGACATCTACATTGAGGAGGTAATGTTCCGGAGTGGGGTGCGGTATCGGTGGTTTCTTAAAGAAATGTTTGCTTCACCTCCAGATTCTGGAGGAAATTTCATGAGGAGTTGGGTACTCAGCTACATTTCAGCACCACTTACCGCCCTCAGACTGATAGACAGAGTGAGTGGACCATTCAGACGCTCAAGTATATGCTCAGGGCATGTGTGTTAGATTTTGAAGGGAGTTCGGATACTTATCTTCCATTTGTCGAGTTCTCCTACAACAACAGTTATCATGTCAATATTGATCGACCTCCATTTGAGATGCTCTCACTACTAGAAAACAGGCCTTTAATGACATGCAATTTATGACACGCACAGATTTACGATACGCACAAGTGTGTGACGTAAAAATAACGTCATCTCTCCTAAAATTTAAAGGATTTAGGACGTGTATTTGTGCGTGCCCTAAAATTAGTGTCAGAAAATAAAAAAAAATAAATACGGAGGGCGCCTAACATAAAATGTGTGTCATGTGAGTGCGTCGCTTTATAAATTTTTAGTGAAACACGCGTTTTAAGCGGGATAATGAAATCACCAAAAATTAACCCCCGCCTATTATCCCAAAAATTAAAACCCCGCCTCTTCTAATTAGCAAGAAAAAGCCCTAGGGACTTCGTCTTATTCGCATCTTCCTCAATTCCCCGATCCATCACCTCCACCAAAAACCTAATCCTCAGTTCCAAAAAATTCTTACACTCTTAATCGAAATTAGTATAGATCGCCCCACTTCACCTCCCCTCTACCCTAATCCATTTAGAGCCAGCGACTCCTCATTTTTCTCTCAGATTTGAGACTCCTCTTTCATCAGAAATAGGAGGTAGCAAGGTCAATTTTCTAAGATTCGAAGTTATATGACTCGAATTAGAGGTTGAAGATCAGAAATCGAAGGTTGCAAGTCAGATTTGGGATCAAAAGTCAGAGGTTCAAGGTACGATCGGAAGCATCAGAATGTAGAAAACAAAAACGAAGGAGGCATCAGGTTCGAAGGTTGTTCTCTTCTTCTTCTTCTTCATGTATGTGCCCTAGATTTCTTTCTCTTACATTCAAATTTTAAAGATTCTTTTATTCCCTAAATCAGGTACGGAGATTGTTCTCTTCTTCTCCATCTGTTTTTGGAATGACGACCTTTCTTGTTAACCTAAAGGGTATTTTCGAATTTTTTGTTTTTGTTTTTGCTAATTAATATTTGCTGTTGATTTGTATATTTCTTTATAATGAAATGTTGTATGATGTTTATCTGGTTAAAATCATATTAGCATACTTTGAATCATCTATCTCGATAAAGAAACCTAACTGTTCCCCTTTCATTAGGTGGGAAACTTTATCCACTATCTCTCGACATTTTTGGCTGGATTGGTGGTTGGTGTCGTTTCCGCATGGAAGCTAGCTCTTCATAGTGTCGCAATCATTCCTCGAATCGCATTTGCAGGTGGATTATACGCTTATACTCTTACAGGTCTCACTTCCAAAAGCCGTGAATCATATGCCAATGCTGGCATCATCGCTGAACAGGTAATATGATAATCTTAAATCTTAAATCTTAATAAATTAATCACTTACTTTATATGATCATATATTAATCGACTATATATTGTTATTAATTAATAGGCTATTGCACAAGTAAGAACAGTGTATTCATATGTGGGAGAAACCAAAGCACTCGATTCATATTCAGATGCAATATAACACACTCTCAAATTGGGATATAAAGCAGGAATGGCAAAAGGATTGGGATTGGGATGCACATATGGAATCGCATGCATGTATGCCTGATTGTTCAAGCTTTCTGATTTACTTCCATAGATGATGGAAGAACTATTTCTTCACTTGTATGCACAAAACTCAACTCTTCCAGCTATGGTTCAAATTCTTGCTGGCTTTGCTACTTCTGATGGTTAGTCCTCTATCCAACTCTTTGGCATCCTTATGAGTCTTCTTTCATGTGTTCAAAACTGAGTCCTGAAACTGAATGTCTTTTGGTGCTATGATCATTTATTTGAAGCTCTGCAGTTTACCCCAAGACTTAAAGGTGTGCTTTCCAAAGTTCTTCCCATTTTAGGGAATGTTAAAGATCAACATCGGCCAATTTTTGCAAATGGTATGCTTAAAGACCCTTTAACTCCTTGTTTCCATGACTACTTTTCACTAATTCTATCATCTATTGGTTCTTTCATACACATGCATCTGTTATCTCAAATCTTACATTTATTTTTATTTGTGTTATTGTTTTTTCTAGCTTTCAGGTGTTGGTGTCAAGCCTATTGGAAATACAGTGTGGAGTACCCACTTTAATGAATTCTTGATAGTGATGTCACGTGAGAAATCATTTTTCTTTTTGTTAAACAAGTCTTTATTATCATGTATTAGGTCAAACCATGGGTAAAAACAGCCTTGCCCCTGGTTCCGGGGTTGTCACAAAATACTTGCTCCATAGGTAAAATTACGATTTTATCCTTGATTATCTTTTAATCTCTTTTCCTTCCATTTTTATAACTTTCCTCATGCATACAATGGTCTGCAAAAGTACTTGGACCAGCAGGGATTCAACATACTGGACTATGGCTGCACTATATGTAGTAAATTACAAAAATGGTCCTTGTACTTTCTGCTTTTTCCTTGTTTAGTCCAAACATGAAACCTTTTTTTTTTGTTTTTTAGTTTTAGTCCTTATTTCAACGTTCCAGGGACCAAAATTGAAAAAAAATGTTCCAAGTTCCAATTTTGGAGTGAAACAAAGTAAAAATCAGAAATCATAGGAGTCATATTTGTAATAAAGTAATTTATTTAACTCTTGAGAACATATTTGTTGCAGATATTGTTGCTGCAGCTATGCTTTCTCGAAACAGAAACTTTGAAGGGCGTGTTCACCCACTAACAAGAGCCAACTACCTGGCTTCACCTCCCTTGGTTGTAGCTTACGCACTTGGCGGCACGGTATGTGTAAAATTACTCTTGTACCCTCAAAGAAACACACAACACAAGTTCATATCATGTTTTTCATGTTGTGTGTTTTACGTCGACATCGACTTCGAAAACGAACCAATTGGGACCACAAAGGATGGAAAGAATGCCTAATCTAGAGACGTTTGGCCAAGCACCGAAGAAATCACTTAGGTTATATATATATATATATATATATATATATATATATATAATATTATAGTTTACAAACCGTAGAATATGTTCAGTAGTGAATCTGATAGGGACAAAATGGTAAATCTGCAGGTGGTTCAATCAATGTCATTTAGTAATATTTGGAATTATAGCCTCTGTAAGTTTGAGTAAAACCTTCTGATTCTGTTGACTTTTTAACTTTGTTTTTGGTTTCGTTTAGTAATAAAGTATCAAATATCAACAGTTATGTGGTAGTAAATCTTCTGAGGGGGTGTTTGTTGGGGTGCTTCTTTCAATGTCATTAACAACAGTGGTAAGTAAAATCTTACTATTATGAAACTCTTTTGCATATTGATTGTTAGTTAGTCAGGCTGGTGGCGTTGGTTGCATTTTGATAGTTTTATCGGTTTTGTCACGGAATTCTGGTACCATTTGCATGTATTTTTCTTTTCCATTGAACCTTTATTTTAGTATTCTTTTGTTATATGAACCAAAATATATTCCATCTCACAAAGTAGATTTGGATTCCGTTATAAATTTGTTTTTTTTAATTAAATAATCCAAGTGTGTGCAGTCAATCTGTTTGTATGAGATCTTAGCTATGTGCCCTTATTTTGCCAGCATTTTGATGGGTTAACTGTGAGAAATAGCTATATACTTTCACTTGACCTTCCTGAATACTTTGGTGATGCTGGTAGTCGAGAGGTGAAACCAACCCAATTTCTATCACAACAACAACAAAAAAACAAAAACACATTTGTAAGAAATAGTAGTGTACTTTCATTGATTTATTTTTTTTTTTCATTTTTCAGGTTCTTTATAAAATTGAGGCAGAAAGGGCCTGTGTTGCTGCATTATTCAAATTTGTAGGTCTTGTTGATGTGCATAGTGTCAAGCAAAGTAGCTCGGGATGTTGTGAAGGTGGGCAACAAGTTCTGATGACTTTCATCACTTTAACATTTGATGTATTACATTTGTCTACTATTGGAATGATTATTTGTATGACATTAACTTTTGTGAAATGTATTGTATTTTTTGTATATGATATTTTATTTTCTATTATGAGACACGAAATGCAAATTTAATTTGAAAATCAGTAAATCTATAAATAATTTTTTTAAAAAAAAAAAAAATTAAAATTACGATACGCAAAAATGTGTGTCATATTCATTTATGACATGGCTTTTCTTGACAGCGACTTTAATGATACGCATTGCGTGTCATAAATGCGTGTCATAAATGCGCGTCGTAAATGTGCGTCGTCTTCCGTTATGACAGGGCCTTTCTTGACGCGCATTTGCGCGTCGTCTGAGCGTTTTACGACACGCATTGCGCGTCGTAAAAGGCTGTTTTTCTAGTAGTGTCTACGGGAGGAAATGTTGGACCCCGGTTTGTTGGGACGAGGTCGGGCATCGAGTCATGGGGAGTACCGAGGTTGTGCTCAAGACCACTGAGTTGATCCATCAAGTGTGACAATCGGCTGCAGACCATGTAAAGCCACCAGAAGAGCTATGCCGACTGTCGACGTTCATACCTCGAGTTTCAGGTCGGGGATTTTGTGCTTCTGAATGTGTCACCTTGAAAATGTGTCATCTGGTTTAGGAAGCAGGGAAAATAGGGCCCCGAGTATATTGAACCCTTTAGGATTATTGCCCGGGTAGGAAAGGTTGCGTATCTGTTGGATCTGCCTAATGAGCTTAGCCAGATCCACAATACTTTCCATGTCTCTCAGCTGCAAAAATGTTTGTTTGATAATTCCGCGGTGGTACCCCTAGACAACATTCAGGTAGATGAGCACCTGAATTATGTTGAGAGACATATTGCGATTCTCAACGTGAATATGAAGACCTTGTGTAAAAAGGAAGTGGGTTTGGTGAAGGTGCAGTGGCAACACTAAAAACGTTCCAAGTGGACCTAGGAACCTGAAGAGGAGATGAGGGAGCATTACCCAAAATTGTTTGCGACGGCGGACTTTGAGGACGAAGTCTGATTCAGGTGAGGGAGAGTTGTAACATCCTGATTATTTAGGTATGAAAATGTAAAAGTAACTTTGGGTTGTTGAGTAAGTCACGACGTGAGGAAAGCACCGTCACGTCGTGACGTAGCCAAGTTCTTCGGGAAAGATCTTTTGAGTGTCACAACGTGGCACTCTATGGGTCACGACGTGACACCTCATCATATGTAAAAACCTAATTTTGGACTTGGACCCTATTTAAAGGAAGTGAAGGGCTCGGGTTTCGTTCACCCTCAGCCTCCATCACCTCCAAACGACCCTTTGGCCAAACCCTAACTCTCTTGAAGCTTTTGAGCTTATTCCTACAAGTTTTGGTGGTTTTGAATGAAGGAGAAGAAGTGGTGGTGCCTAGTTCCTCCAAGAAATCTCTCATCATCCCTGTGTGTAGCTTTTGGACTATTTGTAAATCCTCATTCTCTGATCTTTTGATTTCATGCCTTGTAGATCTAAGCTTTATGCCATTTTTGGCCCCATTTGTGGTGACATGATGAGTATAAGAGATAAATATTGCAACTTTTTGATCTCTTTGTATCCTAAGAGCATATTATTTTGTAGATCTAGGTTGTGGTGGTGATTTGGGGGCCTTGCATGGAATTTTTTTGTCATTTTGAATCTTTTGAACTAGGTTTGGGAAAGGACATGCATGACACATGCATGTCTATAAATTTTGCATTTTTATGAATATTTAGTGTCCCTAAAGCCCTTCTGGAAGTTTTTGATTGAAGACTTTATGAGTTAAGTGCTGAATAGATGATTCTATACATTAAAATTACCACTAAGGACCTTGGACTTGAGATCTTAACGTACAGTGATGTCTTAATAGATAAGGTTGGAAACTTTATCCATTAAGACCTTGGGGCGAATCAGATCTGAGCTTTGGAGCTTGTGGAATCAATGGAAAATGGCTTAATCCAATAAGCTAGGATAGCCGATTTTCATGTCGTGACATCCTTATCGTCACAACGTGACGACTGGGGTTTTCCTCGATTATTTTGGGACTATTTTCCATCACGATGTGATGACATGCACATCACGACATAATGATGGTTTGGATCAAGAATACGTTGAGCTGAGATTGAGTTGAATCATGACTAAGTTGGGATCAGGTTGATTCGGTTTTCCACAATGTGACCATGAGCTGGTCACGACGTTAGGGTCAATTGATGGAAGAGTTGACCATTGAATTTGACATTGATTGTTGACTTATTGACCTGGTTTGACTTTTCATCAAAATGGCTAGTTTTAGAGGGTAGACTAAGGTGAGACCTTATTCGTGAGCCAGGTAAGTTTTCTCACTATACTGTGTATGATGCTAGTTGTCTATGTGATATTTGCATGGAAGACCCCGAGGGTAGCCCACGACATTTGTATGAAAGACCATGGGGGTAACCCATGACACTTGTATATAAGACCTTGGGGGTAGCCATGACACTGCGAGAAAAGACCATGGGGACAGTCCATGACAATGGTATGAAAGACCATAGGGGTAGCCTATAATACTTGTATGCAAGACCATATGGGTAGCCCATAGCAATGCATGTATGGTATGTGGTACTTTAGGAGAACTCACTAAACTTTGTGCTTATAGTTTTGTGGTTTAAATATTTTCAGGTACTTTCAGTTCTAAAGGGAAGGGCCCAACTTGGATGCACAACATTATCCTCCTCATGACCTTTTCTGCATTTATGACTGTATTTGTACTCTGATGATTATGATATATTTGTTACAATGATGGGTTTTGGGTATATACTATATGATTTGATGAATTAAAAATGAAAAAAAAATTATGCCTGTTTTGGGATGTTACATTTACTATTTGTTACAATATATATATCCTTGTATGATTAGGACATATGACTAGCGGTATGTTGGTAAGAGTACAAGTAGGTCGGTAATCGTCTACTAGAGTGCCCTAGGGGCTATATATAGTTACGTAGGATAGCCTGTGAAATCTTGATCTCAATTTTCTTGCTTGTTCCTTGTTTGTTTGTAATACTAGAGTGGGATCACCTGTTCGAATGTCTATCTCACCTCTGATTATATATAGCTATGCATTCCTTGGAAATCTATCGGTTGTGGTGTATTGTACTGTATGATACGTTGTATGTGGTAGTAGGCTGTTAGATAGGTAGACTAGTGTAGATAGTTGCCTGTATATATGTGGCTGTTTAATTGATTGTTTGATCTATATATCGACATATCAGGTAGTGTGTTGAGGTGGTCCTACTTTGTGCGGTAGGCCACGATACTCGGGCGGGCCAATGGTATGTGGTAGGCCAGATACGGACCAAGTGTATGTTGTAGGCATGGGAAGGGGACTATTTGTGGACTGGAGGCCCATGAGAATGGTCCAGGTGTACTGTAGGCCTCGTGAGGTGGTCCAGTCAGACTGAAGGCTCGTTTGTGCATGTATTTTATGTGTATTGTGGTGTGTGGTGTTTTTATGTAACTCACTAAACTTTGGCTTATAGTTGTGGATTAAATGTTTTTCAGGTACCATTGGTGATCGTGGGAAGGTGAAGGCGTGACTGTACACAATCATCAACATAAATGGAGATTCCACATTTATTATATTACTTTGATTTTCAAACAACTGTATTTTGGAACAAACGAGTTTTCTTACTTGGGTTTTATGAAATGATGTTTTGCCTTAATTAAAAATGAAAATTTGTTTGTGCAAATGGGATGTTTCACATTCTTTAAGTTTCTTGAGAACCTCCTTAAAAACCAATCTTTATGGCAAAACATCCCATAATAACCTTGTAATGAAGTATGTAGAGCCTACTTTCTCTTTTTGCTCAAGTCATTAATGCATGCATGATTAATCCATTTTGAATGCATGCATGTAAAGATCAAAGAAAAATGTTATCTTCATGTCCTTTTAGTTAATATAATTGATGGGTTTTTTAGGTTACACAATTATTTGCACATCAGATTTTTACATAAA